AGAGTGCAGACAGCTCCTAATGAGCCATTTCTTCCCCCAGAGCTTCCCTGACATTAGGGCCAAGCTTAATCATCTGGAGTGATGGCCCATAACCCCACAGGCAGAAGTCTTAGCGCTGGCTTTTAAGGTGCACCAAGGGGGAGATGAGAAAGCACGTAAACAGAAATATCAAATGCTGGCCAAGGCCATGTGACCAGCCATGGCAACTGCTCGGGGTCCCTTTCCCACCCAGGGCTCGAGGACCACCCACTCCCTGTTTCAAATGTGGTCAAGGGGGCCATGGGCTTTTACTTGCCCTGCCCCACATGGGCTGCCTGGGTTGTGTTCAAAGTGCCACCAAAAGGGACACTGGTCAGTTGACTGCCCCTGCCAACCTGGTGGCATGGGGACGTGAAATGCAGACCCCCTCTAGCTGACCTTCTAGAACTGGCCATGGATGACTGAGGATGCCTGGGCTCCCTTAACCTGACTACTGCCATCTCCCACAGGGAGCCCTGGGTAGCTACCACAGTGTCAGGGCAATCCATTTCTTTTCTTTTAAACACTGGAGCCACATACTCAGTCCTGAGGGAGTTTTGGGGACCTGCCTCTCCTTCTCATCTATTGTTGGGGTAGGGGGACAGCCTTACCTACTTCATCAGACCCCACCACTCAATTGCATTTTCAGGGATAGCCCTCTTAACCACATTATTTTTGGTTGTTCCAATTTGCCCTGTATCCCTAAAATGAAAGTAATTTTTTTAGCCAAAGTGGGAGCTCCCATTTTATTTATTCCCCCCCCCTTTGCCTGACCACAGACTTACCAGCAGCTCCTCTCCTCCTCCTAGCCACCCACCTTATTGGTTCCAACATGTCATATCCCTTGCCAGCTTCTCAGGTGGACCCCCAAGTCTGGGACACCCAAAACCTTTCTGTTGCTAGGCACCATTCCTCCACTGTTATCCAGCTACAGGACCCTACCTAGTACATTACCCAAGCTCAATACCTACTCTCACTCCTCAGCCTCATTGTACTTAAACATTTCATCTCTGGCCTTCTAAGAAAAAAATCTACTTCACCTACCTCTTCTTCTTTTAACACCTCTACACTTGCAGTTAAGAAGTCTAATGGAACCTACTATGTGGTTCAAGACACAGTTCATTAATTCCACAGTGGTCCCTTTCTATCCTGTGGTTCATAATCCTTATATACTCCTTTCTGCTATCCCCTCATGAACCCCCCATTTCTTAGTTCTGGATCTCAAGGACACTTTCTTCTCTATTCCTCTCAGTCTCAAAACATCTTCACTTTCACCTGGACTGATGCGGACACTCTCCTGTCTAGGCAGCTGACCTGGACTGTCTTAACCACAGGGATTCAGAGACAGGCCACACCTATTTGGTCAGGCCCTAGCTTCTGACTTACTGTCTCTCCCCAACTCTAAACCCATACAGTATGTAGATGACATTCTATTTTGCAGCCCGTCATTACAAGTGAGCCAAATGAACACCTCTGCTCTCCTTAATTTCTTGTCCAGCTGGGGTCATAGAGTCTCATCTTCCAAGGTCCAGCTGTTTGCTTCTCAGCTCACCTACTTGAGTCTAAACATTACCCTGACCCACAAGGCTATTATTTTAGATAGAAAGCACTTAATCCAATCTCCTGCAGTCTCCTCTTCTAAGCAGGAGATTATGTCCTTTCTGGAAATAGCTTGCTTCTTATGGTCCTGGGTCCCATCTTTTTCCCTCCTTGCTCACCCCTTATATGAGGCAGCTCTTGGCTCCCTGCAAGAACCCCTCCTTTACTCCATTACTAAGCCCTTTCAGAAGATCCAACAGGCTTTCTTTCAGGCTCCAGCCCTCCATCTTCCAGACCTAACTCATCCCTTCTCCCTCTATGTAACAGAGAGGGATTTGCCCTTGGAACCCTAGAGCACCAGATGGGACCCTCCTTTGCACCTGTAACATGCTTGTCAAAGAAACTAGACCTCACCACCCAGGGATGGGCACCCTGCATTTGTGCTTTAGCAAAATGCTGAGCTTCTTATTTGTGAATCAAAGAAACTAACCTTTGGGTCACCCACCATCTTCTCCACAACAACCTGTCCCATCTCTTAACTTATAAAGGCTTACAAATTCTCCTCCTTTCCATTCTTGTAGGCCACAAGAATATATTATCATACAGATTCAACTGTGTACTAAAGCTGTACCTAGAAACTTCAAGGCATTTTTCTAGAGAAAGCCATTTATCAAGAAATATTTGGTGTTATTCAGTTTTTAATATTTCAGCTGTCTTCTGCTATGAAATTCGTGGGGGCCCATATACTACTAGGCCACACTGGCAAACAGTGTAAGCTGCTCAGATGCTGATCTATTAGGTAACATGCCCCCCCCCCCAGTCTAGCAGACAGGCGGGGCTATAGATGCATAGCTTTGTTTCTTGTGCAAATGAAGCTCAGATTATCCCTTGCCTTCAGGCCTAGTGGCATTGCAGAGTGATTGACTGAGGACAATAGGGCTTTTTTGCATAACCAGGTGCAGTAAGGACTGGAGCAGAATTCCAGAGGCAGGCAGAGAGTAGCATGGCCAGGAAAGAAAGAACAAGGAGAGTTTCTGTCGATGGTAAAGCAGAATGGCTCAGGCTGAGGAGTGAGGAGCAAGAAAAAGTTTCTTGTAGATTGTAAGTGCATTGGATCAGGAGAGGAGAAGAGGAAGGAAAGATGGAGGATGAAGAATCAGGGGACAAAGATGAGATCAAAAGCATAAGAGCTTAGTTATTACTAGGGCTATGAGGGGACAGAAAAAGTAGGTACAGAAAGGAACTGAGACTCAGGATGGAAGTGAAGCTGAATAGGTAGAATTTTGTCTTAGAGAAATAAAGTAACAGACAAAAGAGTTTTGGTGTACAAAGATTCTTTTCTCTCAGATAACCCCCTGCCAGGTATAGTGTCTTCCCCAGAACTCTGGGAAGAACTTTCTCAGGGCTGGCCCCAGGGAAAATTCCGTTACTTCCCAAGTTCTTTCTTTCCAACTGGCACTAGTGGAAGATGCCACACTTACCTTCTAATCTTGCTCATCTCTTAATATCTCAAACCTTCTCCCTCAACCTAATACTAACTATTCCCCATCTCATTCCTGCACTGAAACCCTAGAGGAACTATTGCCCCATTCTTCACACATGCAGGAGGGCACACTGCCTCAGACCACCTATACCTGATACACAGATGGCAGCTCCTTTTTACATGAGGGGACCAGTAAAGCAGGCTATGCCATAGTGTCAGATAATGGGGTGGTTGAGGCACAGGCACTCTTCACCCACCCTACTAACAGGCTGGACTAACAGCTCTCACCCATGCCTTCCATTGGCACATGGGCAATGCCTAAATGTTTACACAAACTCCAAATATGTTTTCCATATCCTTCTATCCCATGCTGCCATCTGGAAACAGCTCAGGCTTCTTACAGCAAAAGGATCCATATCTAATTTAGGCCAAATAATGGAAATGCTAAAAGCCTCTCATCTCCTCAAAGCTATAGGAATTATTCACTGCTAGTCTCAATGACCCAACAGCTCTATCATCTCTAAGGGAAATAACCGAGCCGACCAAGCAGCTAGGACAGTGGCTCTCCAGCCACCCCACTCACCACAGGGAATCTATACACTACAACCCACATCCTCACAGCCACCCCTGGCACTCTACAAATTTTGTCCTATCTACACCAGCTCTTTCATCCTAAGAGTCAGACTCTGTCTCATTTTGTCAAGGCTCACCTACAGGCCATCCCTGAGGACTTACAGTTCTTAAAAGCTATTACTGCCTCCTATAAAATTTGTAAAAAGTCAGATCCTAATTCCATATATTAGAGACATCCTTTCCTACCCATCAGGCTAGGGGCTCCCTTTCAGGGACTGACTGGCAACTTGATTTTACCCATATGTCCACCATCAGATGGGTTAAATATCTCCTGGTCCTAGTGGATACATCCTCTGACTGGATTGAGGCTTTCCCAACTACTAAAAAATGGGCTCAGACAGTCTCTGACCTCCTCCTCTTCCAGGGATTATCCCCAATTTGGGATCCCCACCTTTCTCCAGTCTGAAAAGAGCCCTGAGTTCACCTCCCAGGTCTCCCAAACCCTATCCAAAGCTCTTAACATCCCTTAGCATGTCCATATCCCATACCATCCCCAGTCCTCAGGAAAGGTAGAACAAACTAACCACTCCTTAAAAATATTCTTGTTAAGATGTGACAGGAACTTCACTTTGACTGGGTAAAATTATTGCCTTTAGCTCTTTTCAGCCTCCAGGCTCTTCCCAAACAACCCCTTTCAATTGCGCCATTTGAACTCATTCATGTATGAGAGGCCAGTTCTAACCACCAGCCTTCCATCCAAATCTCGCTCCTCCCTGCTCACCTGATCACCCCCTTACTCTATCAGCTCCATTCTCTCCTATGGAATTTTACTGACTATTCCCTACCCTGCCCACCCACAATCAACATGGGGATCAGGTCCTTCTTTCCCCCCAACACCTCTCACTCCTTCCCCTTAAATGGCATAGAGCCTTCAAGGTAATTCTTATAACCCCCACAGCTGCTAAGCTTGAAGGCTTTCCCCACTTGATTCATTTATCTCACCTAAAACCTTTTAACCTCACCCCCATGACAATTCCTCCTCATACACAGTGATGAAAACAGGGCACTGCTCTATTAAGTTCCATAAGACAATGAGATCAATTGCCTTGTCTCCAATTCTAGAAGAATGAGGCTTCATCCCTCAAGACCACTGGATTGGAAATCCCATGTTTTTCTTCCCTGTCTCTACTGATCACATTCTGCTTCATCAGTTTCCCTCTGTGCCTCTCCACATTCAAATTTCTAATTAACTACTCAACTGACTATTACAGGACCACCGTCAGTCACAGAGTGGGAGGTGCAAGGACTATCAAATGTACCCAGGAAGTAAGAAAAAGTAACACTCCAGAGGTAGTCACATGCCCACTCACAAGGGAGACTCACAGAACAGGCTTTAATATGTTTATTAGTGTTGACTGCTCTCAGCAATCAATTACCTGTGTCTCATGGATGCTAAAGTGATACCACGATAATGAAAAGAAACAGGTGTCTTAGGGTTTGACTCAGGTAAAGATAGGAAGCCTAATTGGTAATAATAAAAAAGCACATTCCAGATTCCTATTTCTCTCTTGCTATATGACTCCATAACTTTAACATTAACCAACAAAATTCTGATAGCAGACTATATCACCAAACTATCATAACTATAAGTACAGGGTTTTAAATTCCATTTGGTTGCTTCTTAATATGTCTAAAATATATCTCTTTCATAAACTGAAAAATTCTTCTGAGCTCCAGGGAGTTGGTGTGGACTCACTTGGACAGGCCAGATTCACTCCAGATAAGTATCATTCAACCTTTTCGTAGTCCTGGAACCTTCCTCCCTCATCTTGGGACCACTTGGAGACCCCCCTCATCTTCTCTTCCCTGCAAGTACCAGGATCTAAGAAAATTTTTCTAAACTTCATCTTCTGCCTCACTAGCATCTTGTTGGGTCCAAACTGTCAGATCCAAGTGGCACTGGATGATTCCACAGAGCAGCAAAGACAAATAGCTACCTTAGGACAACTGGCTACCTCAGGAAGAGTGGCCCCCCAAATATAATCAACTCCATCAAGTCAGCTGGAAGCAGTCTTCAGAGACCTGGCATCCCCCATTCCTGTTCACCTGCCACCTGAAACCCCTCAATTTTTATAATAGCAAAAAGGGTGGAATGTCATCATACCCGACACCCTAGCTGCTGCTGGAGTCCCATGGCTATGCATGCATTGTCAGCATTCAGGCAAAATGCTTAGTCACTCCAGGACTTTACCTCCTATGTAATCCCTGAGAACATGGCCACATAATTTATTTGCATGTGTGGCGTGGCTAAGTAAGCCCTATACCCAGGCTCAAGGTGATCCTTAAAAGCAGACTCTATTCATTCCTACCCTCTTCTGCACATTTCTCTCCATTTACTCACTCACCCATCTTTCCTATCCCCCACAATAAAACTCTTAAAGTGGGTTTTGTTGTGTCTTGTGGTCCGTTCTCATGCCTGGTAAATAACAGCAGTGAAACCTTGCCATCCCAGTCACTGGAGGCAGAAGCAGAAAGGTCTTAAGTTCAAGGTCAGCCTGAACTCGATAAGCCTGTTTTAAAAACAAAACCTAAAAACAATGATTAACAAAAGAACTGTCAGGGCTCAGTGGATGTTGTGGCATGGCCCAGCAGGTAAAGGTGCTGGAAGGCAAGGCTGATGGTTTGGTTCTAAGGACCCAAGTGGTAGAAAGGGAGGACTGGGTCACACAGGCTATCATCTGATTTCAAACTATACTGTTCACTTACAAAGATAAGAATAATAAATTAAATCTTAAAAGAAACAAAAAGGGATGAGAGATGGTTTAGCAGTTTAGTGCCTGGTGTGAGCTGCACGTGACCATTGCTACTTCACAAAGTTCCAGCACTTTGACATTGCAGATCTTAAATTTCCAGCATCTTTTACCTTTTAGTTTTAATAATTCTCACTAATTATGTTATAAAGTTTCCTTAAGCCTTTTCCTGTGGGAAATTTTTTTGTGGACTTTTTAATGGCAAGTCTCTTTAAACATAATTCTTGGAAAAAAATCCCCACCACCATGGAATCATAGATATAGCATGATAACTACGCCTACCCCCCACAAGAATCCCTATTGTGTCCCCCTGATTACACCAAGAATAGGAAACTTAAAGATGTACTAACTGGATACACATAGTTCAAGGATGAAAGCAACTATGAAAGGAAACAATGGGCTCACATCCAGAAAGGCATTAAGATACTTGCTGAATTTATCACTTTTTGCCTCAGGAAAAATGCTGTGATGAGGTTGATGGCTGGTTTCATCATGGAATCATTAAGTCTCCTTTCAATCTTTCTTGAGTCTAAACTAATGTTCAGTTATAGAGTATAAAGGGTATAGTCCTTTTTCAATAAAGCAACAGCTATCCTCATTCACCCTCAGATCATGGCAATCTTACTTTGCTATTGCCTGATCTCCTTTTTGGGACCTGAACCCCTATAGCGCAGGACTTCAGCAAACACCCCTTGTAGAAAACACAGTTCAGTTTCCAGCTCCCACATGGCAGCTCACATCTGAAATTACCACGTTGATTACATCCATGTGGTACTGTCCAGTATGAATTCTTTTGTGACTAAGAAGACGACTCTTTGTTGCAAAGGATTTACCACATTGATTACATTCAAAGGGTTTCTCTCCAGTATGAATTCTTTCATGACTGAGAAGATACTTCTTCAGTGCAAAGGCTTTACCACATTGACTGCATTCAAAGGGTTTCTCTCCAGTATGATTTCTTTCATGACCAAGAAGATTCTTCTTCGCTGCAAAGGATTTACCACATTCATTACATTCATAGGGTTTCTTATCAGTATGAATTATTTCATGACTGTGAAGACTACTCTTCTGGACAAAGGTTTTACCACATTGATTACATTCATAGGGTTTCTCTCCATTATGAATTCTTTCATGACTTTGAAGACTACTCTTTTGTGCAAAGGCTTTACCACATTGATTACATTCATAGGGTTTCTCTCCACTATGACTTCTTTCATGACTGTCAAGATTACCCTTTGTTGCAAAGGATTTACCACACTGATTACATTCATAGGGTTTCTCTCCAGTATGGATTCTTTCATGACTGAGAAGATTACTCTTCTGTGCAAAGGCTTTACCACATTGATTACATTCATAAGGTTTTGCTCCAGAATGAGTTCTTTCATGGCTGAGAAGATTACTCTTCTTTGCAAAGGCTTTAACACATTGCTTACATTTATAGGGTTTCTCTCCAGTATGAATTCTTTCATGACTGAGAAGCTTATAATTCGCTGCAAAGGCTTTACCACATTGATTACATTCATAGGGTTTCTCTCCAGTATGACTTCTTTCATGATTGTGAAGACTACTCTTCCCTATAAAAGTTTTACCACATTGATTACATTCATAGGGTTTCTCTCCAGTATGAATTCTTTTATGACTGTGAAGACTACTCTTCTTTGTAAAGACTTTACCACATTGATTACATTCATAGGGTTTCTCTCCACTATGACTTCTTTTATGATTGTGAAGACTACTCTTCCGTGTAAAGGCATTACCACATTGATTACATTCATAGCGTTTGTCTCCAGCATGATGATTTTCATGACTGTGAAGACTACTCTTCTGGACAAAGGCTTTACCACATTGATTACATTCATAGGGTTTCTCTCTAGTATGAATTATTTCATGACTTTGAAGACTACTCTTCTGTGCAAAGGCTTTACCACATTGATTACATTCATAGGGTTTCTCTCCAGTATGACTTCTTTCATGATTGTGAAGACTACTCTTCCCTGTAAAGACTTTACCACATTGATTACATTCATTCGGTTTCTCTCCAGTATAACTTTTTAAATGACTGAGCAGACGACTATTATACGCAGAAGCTTTACCACATTGATTACATTCATAGGGTTTCTCTTCAGTATAACCTTTATTATGTACTTGAACATAAGTGGGACATGGAAAGGCTTTGTCACATTGCTGATATTCATACCTTTTCTCTCTAGTTTGAATTCTATGTACTTGATGATGAAGACTGGGACATGCAATGGCTTTATAACTTTGATTATACTCATAGGGTTTTCCTTCCAAATGAGTTCTTTGGTGTACTGTTAAAGAGCAATCAGATCTAAAGTCTTTATCATGTTGATTACATTCATAGAGAGCCTCTTTATTATTGGTTGATTGATATGTTTGATGATGCCTGTAAAGGTTAAAGCCTTTAGTAGATGACTCACATTTATTATTTTCTCTTTCCACATAAGATTTTTCACATCTTTGAAGAGAATTTGAAGAACTCAGAGTTTGACTACATTGATTGCATTCAAAACATTTTCTTATACTGTGAGCCACACTAAATGTGCATAGTGAACCAGTACAGTGAAATGCATTTCCATATTCCTGGTACTCATGAGGATTTTCTCCAATGAGAGTTTGTTGATCAATTCCCACTGAAGTTGGAAAACCAATTAATTGTAAACTTGTATCACAGTCATCATGTCTTCTCATAGTGGGGACTACCGCATATCTTCCAGCTGTTCTGAGAGAGACAGAACTACAATGCTTCTTTCCATACCCCTTATGTTCACATGGCTTGTATCTAGAGTGACAGATGATATACCTGGTTAAAAGAAGATAACAAATAAAAGACTTTCATATTGCATTCACATAGTCAAATGTTTTGTGTGTCATACAGATGGGGAATAGAGATTCATGTTTGTACACCAAGACAACTTCTTGGTCTCTCACCAAGTGCTCCTCTCATTAAACTATGGTAAATCACTACTACAAGAAAATGAGGAACACTAGTTTTAATATGAAAGCTTTGCTTATAAAAGGTCTTGGACATGAATCCCCTCATCAATGTATATACCTTATAATTGAATGGCATGACAGTAAGTGGATGGACAGTTCTACAACATGCTTCACACGTGGCTATGATTAAAGCCATGACATCCATTATGGCATTGTTTCCTTGTCTGGTTTTAAAGGAATGCTTTGTAAACAGTGATCAGCTACCTGACACTGGAGTACATGATGTTGTGACAATTTAATAATCATCACAAAGCTATGCTTATTTACAAAGTTGCTTTTCATTAAAAGTTCAGGGTATACACATAAAATACAAATAAATGAATAAATCTTTTTCTTAAGTTCAGGGTACATTAACATTTCTTCAGACATACATATATATCAGCTTGCACATGAAAATTACCTTCCATTTCTTCTACAGCTCTGACAATGTTCTTCAATATTATGGTCTTCCCATTTGTATCCTAAAATATAGTACCAGAAAATGTGATATATTACTGGAAATTAGGAACAATTGAAAGTACTGTCTTTCATGAACTTTAGAACAATGCCTGATTTATTCACCATTGTTTTCTTTTTTAACATTCAAAATTATAGGAGAGCACCAATCTCCAAGGAAGGCTTCTTTCCTTAAGTTAAAAACTGATAGAAAGCCCACATTCTTACCTACAATAGTGAGGTTCCAGTAGGTTTCCAGCATCACATCTTTGTAGAGACTCTTTTGGGAAGGATCTAGCAAAGCCCACTCTTCAGGAGTGAAGTTCACATGCACATCCTCATAGGTCACTGCATCCTAAAATGTCCCATATATATGTTCTTAATTGAAATGATGATGAGACTGACTGAATTTTAAATGTACACTTCATTGAGAATATATTTATATAATTCTCTGTGCTCGAAACAATCTATGACATGGTTTAGTAAATATTAAATGCAGTCACCAACTCATTTTAAAAGGAAACAGAAAAAGAGGGTGACACCTTCCATTCCTGTGCCCCGAATAGAATACGGCATATCTGAAGAAATGCCTAATAATATAGAAAGATATGAAACCTGAGTAACACTATTTAGTATACATCAGCAGAATAATTTTTATCAAAAATTATTAACTTCAAGAAAGGACAGACAATAAGGGTGGGGTAGTGCACACCTCTAATCCCAAACCCCAGGTGTAGCTACAGTTTCCCTGTCTTGCCCACCGTCAGAACAAATCTTTGTCACCTGCCAGTCCCACAGCCGCTCAGACCCAACCAAGTAAACACAGAGACTTATATTGCTTACAAACTGTATGGCCGTGGCAGGCTTCTTGCTAACTGTTCTTATAGCTTAAATTAATCCATTTTCATAAATCTATACCTTGCCACGTGGCTCGTGTCTTATCAGCATCTTCACATGCTGCTTGTCATGATGGTGGCTGGCAGTGATTCCTTCCGCCTTCCTGTTCTTTCTTTTCTCCTCTCTGTTAGTCCCGCCTATACTTCCTGCCTAGCCACTGCCAATCAGTATTTTATTTATTGACCAATCAGAGTAATTTGACATACAGATCATCCCACAGCACTCAGGAGGTAGAGACAGGTGAAACCCTGAGATTTCCAAGCCTGCCTGGTCTATGTATAGATTTCCAAGACAGTCAAAGGTACATAGTGAGAGCCTGTCTCTACAAAAAACAGAAAGCACTCAGGCCTCACTCAAAATTCCTCCATAGAGTTAAACATTTACTCCAGCTCTACACTTGTCTATCATAAGCTGGAGTGACCCCATATTGAACTATAAGGGTAATAATTCCCAGGAAGGAAAGCATTTTTAAGAAGTTACTGACTGACAGATCAATAATTTCTCAAGAATATTAGTAAATTGCTGATCCTAAAACAGTAAAGCAAACAACAATAACAAAAGGGAGGGAGTATGTGAAGATGGGTCAACAGATAAGATCATCTGCTGTGCTGGCTGTGGTGGTGCCCACCTTTAATCCCAGTACTTGGGAGGCAGAGGTAGGCTGATCTCTGTTCAAGCCTGGTCTACAAAGTAAGTTCCAAGACAGCTAGGACTGTTACACAGAGAAACCCTGTCTAAAAAACAAACAACAACAGCAACAAAACAACCCTCCCCAAAAAAAACAAAAAACAAACAAACAAACAAAAATTAAAGAAAAAAATATATCACCTTTTGCTTTTGAAGAGGTTCTAGATCATTTTCCAACACTCACTGGAAGTGAACAACTATTCCTGACTCCAGGTAAGAGAATCCAATGCTCTTTCTTCTGCCTTCAGTAAATGCCAGGAAGACAACTGGTAAACACACACACACACACACACACACACACACACACACACACACACACACAAGTTTCAGACATTTGAAATATAAAAGTGTAAAAACATACACAAAGGTAGGGACAATATTACACACTATCAATTCAGTGATTTAGGAGATCACTATTAATTTCATGAATGAATGCATTCTTGCTGTGAAAAATGACAAACCTGCCAAAGTTCACAAGTCATGACGTGGGTAAAGTTCTGAACAAGAGAAAATGCTACATGTACAAAAACCAGATTCCATCCACGAAAAATATAAATATAAAAATATCAGGCAAGAAATATGGATTGGCAGGAAGGGCAATTGCTTCTACTTCTTCCTTACATTATTTAAGAATGGAATGGAGTTTCTGCCTTTGGTGATGGCATGCCTACATGAGAAGGAAGGAGGCTGCTCGCTTTCAACAAAACAAAGGAATATGGTGAGACTATATTCCTCCAGAAAGGCTCCTCCTCCTAAGACAAATGCTCAAAGTCAGCACACTACCTGCAAGGTTTTTCATTCAACCCTCAACGTTTTGACACAGGTCATGACAAGTTCACCATCAAATCATGATACAAATTTCATTTAGTTTGATTTCAAAGATCCCCATATTATGTGATAGTCTCAACACTGTTTGAATGTCCACACTTTCTTCTAACATGCAAAGCAACCTCTTAACTATGACCTCATGTAATATCAAAACACAAATCACATCAACCCAACACACAAGGGGACAGAATATACATTTCCCTTTCAAGGAATTAAGTAAAGATTGGGCCAAGGCAAGTTTGAAACCATGAAGGGTAAATACCAAATCCTGCAGCTTTGTGTCAGGTACTTGGGGCTTCAGTTTTAAAGGGTTTATACAGCTCTTATGCCCTGCAACTTCTCATACATCTCTCTCTTTGGCTACTTCTACTTCCTACATGCAGCTATTCATGATATATGTCTCAACATATTGTTACCTCAAAATGAAAGTGAGGCTTCATCTCATGGCTCAGTGTAAGGAAGTCTGACAATCTCTTCACTGGGGCTCATGAGCTCTAGACCCAACACTAAGGCTGCAGGTCATTATTATCTTTAAGACATGGTGTACTTGTAGCCACAGGTGACCTTGACTGTCATTTGATAGCCTTGAACTTGATATTTCTGCCAAGTCCTAGGATTATAAGCGTATTTTACCACTCATGGCTTCATGGTTGCAGTTTTTAAAGTGGTTAGGGCTGGGCTTCCTCATTCAGTGACACAAAGGAAATAAGGGACACATGGGAGGTGACCATTCCTGGCAAAGGGAAAAACAGGTGCAAAGGCCCTAAGGTGATAATGTGCTTGGCAACCCAAGCACTGAAGCATGGTTACAGCAGTGTCAACAGAGAACCAGGAAAAACTGTGGACTTGGGAGGAGTTGACTTTACAAGGACTTTACTGTTAGGCCTTCAGTTTACCCAATAATATGTATAGCAACATGACCTACATTGTTGTTTAGATCTCTGGCACTTTACAGCTAGCTTAGCAGTTAAAGAGCACTGCCAGCTTTTCCAGGTTTGATTCCTTGCAACCTCATGGAGATTCAATGATCAGAACTCCAGTTCCAGAAGATTCAATACCCTCTTCTGGCATTCTGAGACTGCAGACATGCACATGGTACATGGACATACATGCAGGGAAAACACTCATACACATACCATCAATAATCTAAAGAAAAATGAAATAAAATAAAAGATCTGACTGTTGATTTAAAACATGAATGGTTGGAGAACTAGAGATTTGGGGGATGAGTAGAATCAGATCACTTAAAGTCATTGCATGGCTCAGTAGTTACCAGAACTTGGTGTTCTTCCAAAGGGCCTGGGGTTTGTTTCCCAGCATGTACATGGTGGCTCAGGACCACCTCTAACTCCAGTTCAAACTCTTTTTCTGGTCTATTTGGCATGAGGAATACACTCTGTACACAGGCATTTAAGCAGGAAACACTTTCATATATAGCAACATTATAATTAAAACCCTATTTTAAAAAAGATTATAGGACCTGAGGATGTAGCTCAGTTGGAAGCATACTTGCCTAGCATGCATGAATCTCTCAGTTCAATTCCTAGTCTATAAAGGGGACAAGGATAGTGTGGTGGTTAGAAAGAAAATCTCCTCCAAAGGGAGTGGCACTATTAGGAGATATGTCATTGTTGGAGGAGGTGCAGTGTTGTTGGAAGAAGTGTGTCACTGTGGAGGTGGGAATTGAGATGTCCATATATGCTCAAATTACTACCATTGTCTCAGTCCGCTTCCTGTTTCCTTCCCTGCAAGATGTAAGACTCTCAACTCCTTCTCCAGCACCATGTCAGCCTGCATGCTGCCATGTCCCACCATGATGATAATGGAATAAACCTCTGTCTTGTAAGTAAGCCACTCCAATTAGATGATTTCCTTTGTAAGAATCACCTTGGCCATGGTGTCTCTTCACAGCAATAAAAACCCTAAGACAGATTAGAATGGCTGTCATCCCAGCACTTGAGAGGTGGAGGTAGAAAGATCAGAAGTTCAAGGTCATTCATGGGTAAACAGGGAGTTTTTAGACAACCTGTGCAATGAGACCTTGCCTCAGGAAATAAGAACACAAAAAGATTCACACAAGAATATCCCAGGAGAAAGAAGAACAAAGCACTTGGGATCCATGTCACAGAAGAGTTGTGAAAGGCCACAAGTCTGGAATAGGCATTGATTCCTTCATAGTCAAACTGTCATCCTGGACTCGGGAACTGAACTCTGTCTTCAGGAAACTCCATATGTACATTCACAGCTTAGCCATCTTTCCAGTCTCTTTAAACCGTTTAAGTACAACTACAATTTAGTTTCAATTTCTGAATGTTATAACCAACAGAACACATGTACATGTTTATCTTAGAGTAAGAAAAATTTTAGAATGCCCCAGCAATCCTTGATCAGAAAAATAACCAATCCCTGAGCACAAAATCTAGCCAATCTGAGCTTGTCCAGGCTCAAGGGGATCAAAATCTGACCAATTCCCTCCCTAAAAATCTTCTCCCTGGAAAAACTCCACCCTTAAGAAGCCCTACATAAGTCCCTCGGCCTGTTCAGGTATCAGCTGTCCTTCTCCACCCTGGCAGAGGCAGCCACTCTCCTCCTGGACTCCTTGGTCCCAAATACACCTCTTTCTTGAGAGAGTTTTGGGTGAAGATCTTTTGCTAGCGAGGAGATGGGAAGCTCCCTTAGTGGGCACAGCAGAAGAAGAAATGGATATCTCTGCTGTGAAACTCCTTTAGGTGCAGAGCAGAGCTCAGCTGTAAAGGCTCTCTCTCAGAGGAACAGGAGTGCCACATCCTGTGGGGATCCATCCTCTACAGGACCCCAAGTTCAGGTATACCCTGACATTCTGACAAGTCAGGATACCGTTCTCCTCACAGCTGCAGGTATACCATGACTTTCCCAACAAGTCAGGATACATTTCCCTCCTGAGCTGTAACAACTACAGCAGGGCCTTGGTCCAGGCCCCAACACCTACAGCCATCTAAGCAGAATGCACACGGGTCAGGGGAAATAGTTCCTCAGTTGAGCATTTCCTCCATGTTGTGCCTGCTCTAAGCAGTTCCAGGGAAAGGGAAAAGTTCTCCTGGGCTGAGCCCTAAGAAAAAAAAGAAAGTTCCACTACTTTCTCTTCCATAATTTGTGTCTCTTTTCAACCAGTGATCTGTAAAACCCTCTGATCTCATTTCACATTTTCACATTGAAAAATGTGAAAACACTGCCCCTGGGCTGGGCAAGAAAATTGCTGCCAGGCAACGCAGCTGGGAAAGAACAGATATATTCCCTTCTGTCCAACACTGACCAAGGGCACTTTAAGAAATTTCACTAAGTACTTTTTAGAAAGATTAAAGGCAGCTGCTAAAAAGATTTCCTTTGTTGCCTAGTCAGCCAGGGTATTAAAAAAATGTTATAAAAGTTTTAAAAATTTTTAAAGTAAAAATAGGTCCCAGTTGCTGGAGGTAGTTCAAAAGGTGTTTGTTAACAACAATAAACTGACTGGGACAAGAACTTCTGCACAAACTGAAAGCCACCTTCACCTTCTCTGATAATGAGACACAGACTTACAGATACACAGCAAAATTTTGGTATCTTACCCTCTATCAGAAGAATATATGAAAGTTATTCCTCCAATGAAAAGATAAATAATACCAAATGACCCTGGGGAAAAAGTGGGAAAATGAAGCTCACATGCCTGGCTTGATGAGACAGGCATCCTGGTGCCCTGCCAGTCACTATGGAATATGCCTCTCCTGCCTATGAAGAAACCTGGTACCTCTAGTTCTCATAAGTCTGGTTCTTCCAGAGAAATAGGTGTGCACTGTCTTGGATCTGAAAGATGTATTCTTCAACCTCCCATTGGCAATGTGGAGTCAGCCCTCTTTGCTTTTAAATGGACAGACCTAGTGGGGAGGTTATATTGGGCAACATACCTGGACCAAGTTGCCCCAGGAGTTAAAGAAATAAAATGTAGAATTCCTACCCTTTCATCAGAAGTTTCCTAGGAAAACAGATTATAAAGGATCCACTGAGGGATTTAACTAGCAGCTGAAGGGAGGTAAAAGGAGCCTGTCTCCGAATAGCATTGCTGCCATCCTTCAGATCCCAACTCAAAGACTAAGACAGGTTCAAGAGTTCCTGGGTGCAGCTGGATATTGATATCACTGGATACCAATGTTTCTGGAAATGTTAAGGCCTCTATACACAAGCACAAAGAGGGCCCTGAGCCCCTAATATGGACTGAGACTCAACAAAAGCCATTTAAGGCTTTAAAAACAGCTATGATTTCCACTCCAACTATAGAATTCCCAGATGTCTCAAAACCTTTTCATCTGTTTGTTCACAAAATACAGATAAAAAAAGGAGTTTTAACCCAAACTCTGAGGCCATGGAAATGTCCTGTGATGTACCTGTCCAAATGACAGAACCCTGTAGCTACAGGTTGTCCCATCTGTCTAACAGGAATCAAGGCTAATGCCAGTTTAATGAAACAAAACAAACAAGTTAACTTTGTGTGAAGATCTTATACTCACAGCACACCACGGCATGTGTGAGGCAACCCTCTTCTGTGTTGACAAAGGTGCTCATCCATGACTGTCAAGAGATGGAAGATAAAACCAGGTACATGGGAGCTATAGCAGTTCCATTAACTGAAAAAATTAGCAACCACACTGGGTACCTCAGCCCAGAGAGCAGAACTGATTGATTTGACCTAGGGTCTCAGGTGGGGAAAAGAAAAGTACTCCACCATACACATGGACAACTGTTGGGCATGTCCACAGTATGATCTACAGAGAAAGAGGGCTTTTCATCACATGGAAAAAGGACTTTAAAAAATCTTGGCCATTCTAGAAGCTATTTGGCTTCCCCTACAAATTGCTGTCCTCCACTGCTGGGCTTCTGACCTAGCTGCCAACAAACCAGTGGGGCTACTTAATATTATGGAACTGGGGCGGGGTAGGGTGGGGATGACATTCTGATGACATACTGTGACCCTTTACTGCCTGACACTCCATGGTAAAATAAAATGGACAGTTCAAAACCTCAGGATGATGGAGGACACCAGAGGGAAGGATCATTCTCCCAAAAACAACTGACTGGACTGTTGGTAACTAACCTCAAAGGCTACTCATGTGGGGTTCACAAAACTTTCAGAGTTGAATCAGACCAAGGCATATTATACCTAGATGGGACAGCCTAGCAAAGGATGTCTCAGCCAGATGCCAGGTTTGTGCTCAAGTGAATCCAAAACAGAGAGCCCTTACCCAGGAAAGCATCCAAATGACAGAGGAAGACCCCCAAGAATTCTGGGGAAAATGACTTCACCAAGATCCACTCTGTCCAGGGAAGATAACAGTACTGGCTAGTTTTGATAGATACACCTTCCTGGTCAGCAAAAGTGTTTCCCCACCCAGACTCTAAAACTCAAGTAGTAGCTTAAAAAGCTCCTTCAGGAGCTGGTCCCATGATTTGGACTCCCTCTAGCAAAGGGGTCCAACAATGGCCTGGATTTCATAGCCAAAAATCTCTCAATGGATAGCCAAAGCTTCACATAGAGACTAAAAACGTCATACATATCTCATACATACTGCATACAGATCTCAGAGTTCTGGCCAGATAAAAGGAATAAATAGGACACGAATTAAAAAGAAAAAAATAACAAAACTCTCATTAGAGTCTACCAAGAACTGGACAGGCCTCCTTCCCTTGAGTTGCTTCTGCCAGCTGCACCCCATATAATGAGAAATTGACCCCGCTGTGAGATTATGTTTGAAAAACCTCCCCCACTGCTCCCAGGCTCAGAAACCAACTGTTTGCAATCAGTCTATTCATTAATTTCTCAAGTCATTACAGACACTCTAGCCCTCCATAAAGGCTATTCACTGGACTAGCCTAGACACCCAGCTGACCTCCAAGTCCACCACCAGTTTACCCTTTTTCCAGTCCAATGATACTGTCTGGGTCAAGCAAGTAGACAAAGAAACACTGGAACTAACCTGGAAAGGACCCTAAGAGGTGATTCTCTCCACTAATATGGCAGTGAAGAAAGCTGGCATTACACCATGGATCTACCACACTCAGGTCAAGAAAGCAGAAGCCACAGATGCTGCTACCTGGACTGTCTCTGGACTATGGACCCATTAAAATTAGGTTTCATTGATCCCAAAGCTGTTCTACTTCCTATCCCTCTACTTCCTCCTCCTGAGTCTTACATTGGTTATGAATACAGGGTAAATGCTGCAACCCCCACTGCCCTTAGGCCTGGACTAGGGAACTAAGGACAGATAGAGGGAAGGTATCTCAGACCAGCAACCCATATTCATTGTGACCTTGCTCACTGATGCCCATGTTAAATGTCTGGTTGTATTTGAGAAAGGAAAGATATGGGGGTTTATCTTTTGATATAGAAATACAGAGTTTGCAATTCTCTGCATACCCTGTGGTTGGACGCCCTGGTTGTCAGAAACAGAGTATCAATTGTGAAAACTGGGTCTGTGAAACGAGCTTCCTGGAAAACATCATTAAAAAGATTCTGACCTATGGGAAACAGGAAATCCTTGCAGAATCAGACCCTATGCTACAGGAAGGAACACTGAGGGTGCACTCAATCATTCCCAGCCAGAAATAGGCCAGGATTGCTGGTTATGTTTAAACACCTGGCCCCTGTCATACTACATAGGGATAGGAGTTAACCAGACTGTCAGCACATTGACTGACAGAACTTGCTATGACAAGGTGTCAGCCCAAATTAATGTTCTGCTTTATGGACTAATTCATGGGGATAACAATATTTCCAAGGCCCTGAGACTATTTGGTGGGCATGTACCAATGGTTTGACTAAATGTACCTCGTCTGATGCTTTCCACACTAGGCAGACAGGTTGATCAGCACCTGATGGTAATAAAACGTTCCATTTCTGAATTAAAACAACAGTTAGATTCCCTTACAAAAATGATCCTACAAAACTGAAAAGATTTATGCTTTCTTCTCATACTTCTCATGAGACAAAGAAAACTATGTAAGGCTTTGGAAAAATTTGTTGTTCCTATGATAATTGACCAAAGTAATTTATAAAAAAAATTGCTGTCATGGTTGGGGAAATAATTGATACCAGTCTATGTTCTCCTTGTCCCACTGGCTAACTTCTGTGCTATTGGTACTGACCAGGCCTTTAATTCTCATTCTGATTGGATTAATGGTGGGGCCCTGCATCTTAACTAAAACAACATGAATCCATGATGTGACTCATTCATTAAGTCCAGGGGGAATGTAACAGGCCCAAGTTTTTAGTAGGCCGCCAGACCTTAGCACAACTGACTCCAAGATGGAAGTGCCATTCAGGCTGCAAAACTCAGCATGTAGAAAGTACCACTAGCTAAAAGAAAACAAATGCCTAATCCATCAAAGTGCATATTTATAGGAACTCTCTAAATGTACTAACCTTGCTTTTTAGACTGTAGTTCTGCTTCTGGCTCAATGTTCCTGTTAACTGAAGTATATCAACCCAGGACATGATTTTTGTGCTTATAAGCTTATTGTGAAAAAACGATCAGGGCTACACTGGGATCCAGAACATCCAGTGTACTTTCAGGCAGATAATAAAGACTTTCTATTGGTTTAAACCCATGTCCAAGCTGTTGTTTGTTTTTGCTCTTTAGGGGGGCCCACCATCCAGCTCCCAAATAAATCACACACAGAGGTTTATTCTTAATTATAAATGGTTGGTCTTGGCTTGGCTTGTTTCTTGCCATCTTTTCTTAACTTAGATTAGCCTGTCTGTCTTTTGCCTCTGGTCTTTCACCTTTCTCTATTTCTGTATATCTTTCTTTCTTACTCTGTGGCTTGCTGTATAGTGGGGTGTCTGATTCCTGGAGTCCTCTGCCTTCTCTGGATACTTCTCTTCTCCAAGATTTCTCCTATATATTTTCTATGCCTGCCAGCCCTGCCTATCCTTTCTCTTGCCTTGCCTTTATTAGACCATCAGGTGTTTTAGATAGGCAAAGTAACACAGCTTCACAGAGTTTAAAAAAAAAAAACAACAGAAACAAAAGCAACACACCTTAAAATAATATTCCCCAACACAAGCAGTATTCTCTCATAACAAGCACCCCACGGAACTTTCTCCAAAACTGACCACATACTCAGACACAAAGTAAGTCTCAAGAGATAGAAGAAAATTGAAATAACTCCCTGCATCCTATCAGACCACCACAGATTAAAGCCGCACGTCAATAATAGCAGAAGCATCAGAAAGCTTACAAACTTGTGGAACCTCAATACATTTCTAATAATGAATAATGGGTCAGGATATATAATAAAGAAAGAAATGAAAGATTTTCTAGTCATAACTGTTCCACAGACTGAAAGCTTTCTCAAGGAATCAGTCCACGGGGCTGGAGAGATTGATCAGCAGTTAAGAGGATTGGCAGCTCTTCCAGAGATCCTGAGTTCCATCCCTGGCAACCACATGGTGACTCACAATCATCTGTAGTGGGATACAATGCCCTTGTCCAAAATAAAGGCATATATGCAGATAGAGCACCCATATATAAAATACATAAAATAAATAATTAATCTCCAAAAAAAAATCACTGTTTCTCAAAACCAACATTCCCCCCCCGCCCCCCCCCCAAAAAAAAGATCAGTCCATTACTCTTTCATTTAGCCTTATTTGATTTCCCAGGACATGTACAGAATAGAGAGAGATAATATAACAAAATATTACACAACCTCTCATACTGACTCTTCCTTGCTGTGAAGAAGCACTATGACCAAGGCAATTCTTATAATGGAAGGCTTTTAATTTGGGGATTAATTACAGTGACAGAGCGTTAGTCCATTCTCATCTTGAAAGAAAGAATCACAGTGGCAGGGATGGAGCCGAGTGTTACATCCTAACACAGAGGCAGAAAGGAACACTTGCCTTGCACAGGGCTTTAGAAACCTCAAAGTCAGCCCACATTGACACACCAATACAAACAAGACACACCTACTCCCACAAGGGCATACCTCCTTATTTTACACAATTACTTCTCCCTAACTGGGGCCAACCATTCAAAGATAGGAGCTTAAGGTTGTGAGCAAATATAAACCATGGAAGAAATACAACCTTAGAAGAAAGAGCTCTAAAGGAAAGGAGTGAATGATATTAAGGAAAACAGAGAGAGGAAGATGGGACAACAGAGAAAAAGACAGACAGAGAAACAATGGAAAAAATATTCCATCCAAATAGGAAGAGACAACTCCTCTGGCTGGATTACAGGCTTCCTTAATATAACCTTCTCTACCCCATCTAAGAAGAGATTAAACAATTCAAGGTCCCCAAATTAGGTTTAAGTCCCTATCTTTTCTCTGAGTGCATGGCATTATCCCTTGTTTCCCTCCCTACCCAGTTCCTTTGCAAAATCTGGGACACCTTGGATCAGGTCTGATGGACACAATGAAGGCAGTCAGTCTCCTGGTGTGCTGACGTGTGACTGCTGTAGATGAGGCCATCTGGAAGCTGCATTTCTAACTCAGTTGTTGTGCCACACAAGGCCACAAAAGTTTTAAATTTTATTTAACTTTTTTTTTTTTTTTTTTTTTTAAGACAGGGTTTCTCTGTGTAGCCCTGGCTGCCCTGGAACTCACTTTATGGACCAGGCTGGCCTCTGCTTCCCAAGTACTGGGTTTAAAAGCATGCACCAACACCGCTGATTTAACTATTTTAACAAATTAAACCCAAAAGACTTCAGTCCAGCAAACATGGAGAGTCACAAATCTGTCTGATCACAGCCCAGACCAGACTCAATTGGGAGAAAATGGGGCCAAGCAACATCTTGTGTCTGGGGACTGAGGAGAAGGTGAAAGACCTGGATGAGAACAACTGGCTTCAACGGTTACAATCATCGATGGATTCAGCTGTCTCTGGTTGGAGTCATGGAATTCTTTCCTCTGTTCCCTAGCTGCATGTGGCCTACCTGCCTAGAACACAGGGACCATCTCCTCCTACATACATGCAAACCTAATTAAAGAGTCTTTTAAAGGAAAGGGTGTAACAGTGCACATTTAACCATGGAGAATGGGGATCCCACTGGAACTGTGCCTGATGGAGGAGGGGCTTCCTTAGCAGGGAGCAGGACTAACCCTGGGTAGAAAGCAACCCTGTGGTTTGCTATCATCTTGTCTATTATGTTAATATTATATTACAATACAGAATTTGAGCCATAGAAACAGCAAAAGTCCAATGAAAAGTCTAACAATTTATGCTATAAGCAACAGAAATCGCGTGAGAAAAGGTCATCATGAATGATAAAATGATCAACACATGACTGAATAAATAGTACACACAGTGACCATCTGACTTTTAACTTTGAATGAAACTGTAATAAAGACTGCACTGAACTGGGCGGTGGTGGGGGCACACACCTTTAAACCCAGAACTTGAGAGTTTGAGGTCAGCCTGGTCTACAGAGTGAGTTCCAGCACAGTGAGGGCTACACAGAGAAAACCTATGGGGGTGGGGCCGGGGGCCGGGGGCCGGGGAAAGACTGTACTGTTCAGGAAAGAATAAAGAGATTAAGAGAACAAGGGAGGAAACTTAGAAATAAAAACACAATAAATATAGAGTCAAACGTGACAGGAGGCCAGGAAACCCAGGAAGGGTGGCCTTACTGCTATATTCACATATTCAGTAAGGCATCCACATGCAAATGAGTTAATGACACAGACTTTACGCCCTGCACAGAATTAACTGCAGACGGATCCTACACCTGAATGTTCAGTGCCAAGTCCAGAACTTCTCGAAGACACTACAGTGACCAGGGCTCTGCAAGTTAGCAAATCTGCCTTCCCTGGCGACAGTAAAAACGCCGCGTGCGCGTGTACTGCATGGTGACTAGGAAGTTGCCACACAAAAGCTCACACGCCCCCATGCTCTGCGCAGGCGCACACCTCAGAGCTAAATCCTCACAGGTCCCGCTTGTGCCTGGGAGTTGCATGGATCAGGGGACCAAAGGGAATCACTCCGGACACCGCGACCGGACGCCATTTCCACAGCCCCGGGAGGACACTACACAAGCTCCAGTGGCTCGTCTCCGTGGGGACAGCAGCCCCTCACTCACCATGGCGAATTAGGAGCTCGCCTGCTCTCCTCAGGGCTCCCAGAAGCCGGTCACAGCCCAGCATATGAAACAAGACAGTTTGCCTCAGCCTTGGTCCCCACAGCCGGCAGCACTGGGGAACGGAAGTGCCCGCCCCTTTCTGACTGGCAGTCCATCTCGAGGTCCTGATTGGCTACTGAGACCCTGATTGGCTAAACAGCTCCCTTAGCGGACAGAGTGCTCTGAAGTCAGCTTCCACCCCAGGCACAGAACTGCCCCAGACCTGCAGAGACTGGCATTGCAGCAGAACTTGGGGCTGGATTGCAAAGTCTTCCCTGAACTATTCCTGCACTCAGGAGGACTCTTTTCTGGGGAATTAGTCAGATTTGCTAAGAAACTGAGAAAGGACAAAGGAAACCTGCTACTTTCTGGGCTAGCAAAACCTCAGGCGAGCTGTGGAAAACGTGCTATGATTTTTGTTTTTGTAAGAAGAAAGTTTAATTAAAAAAAAAAAAAACAGCTATGCACTCTCTTAAACTGTTATTCTGTAGAAAAGGCCCATCAATGTAAATACAGGATTTAGAGAAGTAAACACTATGGGATCAGAGTGAGCTTTTTACTTACCATTCCATATTTACTATAGAGTCTCAATACTCTGATGACGAAATTGTACATACTTAGTTGCCCACTTGACATAGGAGTCTACAGATTTGTTTTCACTTAATTCTGCATCATAAGTGAAAATAAGTAAAGCAAATTAAGAATACTTATTTTTTCATCATTCTCCTATTGTTTCATCTTCTTTATCAAGGTCTCACTCTGTAGCCCTGGCTGGTCAGGAAGTCACTATGTAGACAAGGCTAGCTTAAAAATCATAAAGATCAGTTTGCCTCTGCTGCACTACCATGCCTGACTTCTATGAATTCTGCACATTTACTAATGAAATAAACAGAAGCTAGGTGTGGCATGCAACTGTGCTCTGCACCGAGGACACTGTTGCAGGGAGACCACTGAGAGATTTAGGCAAGCATGGTTATAAGGGAGACTCTGTCCCAAAAGTGCAAATGGCAAACATGTGCAGGCTCTGACACCCCAGAATTTTTGGACCATTAGTGTCAGTCTTTGTCCTGGAGTCCACATGGGACAATGGCACCCTGGCCTTTGCCCCCAAGTCCACTGTCCACTTTTTGATACCCTGTCTGGCATCTGTGACGGTGCTGAAACAGCAGCCAGCAGCAGTGGCAATGGCATGAAGAATCCCTGTCCAGCTGCTTTACTGCTGTGCTCCACTGCTCTGTGGAGGAATTTTATCCTGTGTCCTGCCTGCAGGCCTTCCACTGAGGGTTCTTTAAAGCCACAAGAACACTTGACTGGCATGTTCAGTCTGGGTCACTATAGGATTTCTGGCTCAGTAACCTAGTTTCCCAGGGCTACTCTTTTGTACCTGAACTTGGAAAATAGCAGGTGGATCCACTTGCTAATGCTGATTAGGGAATGTATGGGATGTTGGGGGAACAGAGGTTCTTGTACTCACAAAGAAGCACTAACAGAACTAGGATGTTAATCATCCACATGTGTCCACTCAATGGAGGAGACACAAATCAAAGAATTGAATTGTATCCAGAAGACTAAGAGTGGATTTTGTTAATAACTTGGTGACCTTTTGCTATCTGTGGAGCAGACCTCACCAATATTCCCCAGAATAATTATCCCAGAGTCTTCTCTCCCTAGTCCACTAAGCATTTAAGGGGAGATGTCTCCTTCTCTCTGGCAAGAGGAACTAGTGGCCCTTCCATTAACATATGACTGTGATGTCTAATAACCTCTCATGGTCCATGCTAGCTCCCTCAATCCCTGTTCACAAACCCCCACCCAGAACACCCCTTCCTCCCATTCCCATTTAATCCTTTGTGCAATTGTAGAGTATGAAATAATAAAGAAAATATTTAAAAAATATTAAAGAAAAATAAAAAAATTTCTTTAATAAAGCAGCAGCTATTCAGATTTCACCTCAGATCCTGTCAGTCTATGCCCTCACCAACTCTACATCTCCACTTTTGGATCTGAACCTTGATAGAGCTGGACTCTGGCAATAAAGTGCCTGTTAAATAGTTTTTATAAAGTGGAGTGAGAAGGAGAGGGAGAGAATTTTCTGCTGGACACATCTTGGCTGCAAAGGCAGAATGGACCCCAGAGCCTTTAGGATTCCAGGCCAGGCATGGACCTTTGGGACTTGTCCCTTCTTAGGATCTGACTCAAACTCAGATCTCTTTTCCTGATCCTTTAGTTAATGCTTAAATTAGTATTTAATTTTCATAGTAAATGAACTAACAGAGCAAATTTCATAATTTTAAACTGTATCATTGGGTGTGCTTGAATAAAAAATGAAATGCAAAGGACATGATTGCTCCTAAGTATGGTGAAGGAAGAAGTTTTTTGTAGTTGTGTGGGAGAGCATAGTCAGAAGCAGGGATATCTGGGGGAGTCCAAAGTGGACAAGAGCAGACTGAGCTGGGTCATGTGGAGAGAGTGGGAGGGGAAGGGAAGAGATGGGAACCAGGTGGAGCAGTCAGGAGGCCAAAGATACAAAAGGGGCAGGAGACAAAAATGTCTAAATTATGTATGGATGAGTCTCTGGGGGAAGGATAGCCCAGCCCTTCAGCAGAAGACTTCAGGGTAGGGGGTGAGATATGCTAGACATACCTTGTAACAGGTAGGGACTGAGCGATTCTGGGAGAAACTGGTGGCCTGTGAGACAATGGCGAAACAATGCCCAGTGGACGGTGACTCCCCAGCCTCTCTCTCTATCGATGGCCTGAGTGCCGGGTGTCCCTTCCATGCTGCCCTTAGTAAAGATGGTGGTGAGGTCATTTGACCTGCCTCTTTTGACTTTATTCAAGATGGTTCTCTTCCCTGCGCAGTAATTCTTAACTTTATCACCCAACATCACCAGGCAATCTCACTGCTTTCTCCTGCCCACCTGCAGTCTGAGGAGCTCTGGGATCATCTACCACCCACTATTTTTTCCAGGCTGGAGCACCACTGGGGACTCTTCATCCTACAGGATCAGCATCCTACAGGATCATCCCCTTCTCGCCATTTTCCCACAAGTGAGGATTTTTCTCATTTTGCTGGCTGGTACCACGTGCCTTTCAGGCTCAGAGTCCTTAGGTCCCCATCCCTATATGACAGCATATGGAGAAGGCCTGTGCCCTCTCAATTCCACGGCCCATAGCCTTTGTGACAACTGAGGGTATCCCACACATGCAGGGAAACATGCTAGGCAGATGCAGTGGTGGGCTGGGCAGATGCATGCCATGCAGGCATGGTGGCTGTGGCAGTGGCCAGTAATTCACACAGATGCTGCATACATGTGGAGAGTTTATTATGACAGAGAGATGACGAGAAAGATAGGAGAGAGAGAGGGAGAGAGAGAGAGAGAGAGAGAGAGAGAGAGAGAGAGAGAGAAGGAGTGTTGTGCCCAGATCGTGACCCCCAGAGAGACCACCAAAGACAAGCATGCCAGAATGCAAAAGCAAGGTTTAATTCTGGATATCCAAAAGCAATACAAGCCTAGGCAGGGACTTCGTCCAATATACCCAACGCAGTGGAGGTTGGAGGAAGCTCCCACCTATCTGCAAGCTCAGCTTTTAAAGGGAAAAGTCACAAGGTTACATCATTTAGGGGTGCTAGTATGGATACAATTCTGATTGGCTCGCTTCTAGGGACTTCTAGAAATTACTTCTAAGGGAGTGGTTGCCCGCCACCATTTCTCATTGGCTGCCCTCAGGTGGGGGCATTTCTGTGGTCAGTTACCCTGGAAACCAGGGAGAGGACATTCCATAGTCTGGCAGGCATTACCTCATGACTATCTTGTGACTCTGTACTTTTACACTTCCTGGTTTCTGGAATCTGAACTGACTGGTTTTAGTAACTAATGGCCTATTCCCAAAAGGAGAAATCTTAGGCCTTAGTTTTTGGGTGAAAGCATTTTGGTCTTATTTCTAAGATGGCTCATTTTGGTCTCACAGAAGTATATTTTGTGGGAGGAAAAGTGGGAGAGAAAGAGGAAGGGGAGGAGTTTTTCCTTAGAATGAGGCTTTTATGTCAGGACACAGGGCGGGATTTCAAGGGGTGGATCAGAATATTAACAGTAAGTGATACCACAATCCAGGCCGAGTTGCCCTGTACCATCTATCTTCTTTGGATACCTTAATCATTCCCTCTATGTTGAGGCAGATCTATTTATTATGGGGCACTTAAATATTTTAAATTCCATATTCTTCAGATCTCTGAAGCATTTGAGGACCACCTGTCTATTAGGTATGTCTGAATAGACAAAGTTCACTTACTTCTAGTTACTTGTTTTAGGATTAACTTTGAAAATATATACAAGGGGCTAAATAAGACTTATTCTTATAATTAATTACATTAGTATTTAGAATGACTATAAGCATAGTTCTGAGCATATTAAAGAATTTCATCATTTAAAAGGTGACTAACCATTAACTTATATTTCTTAATTATCTCTAAAAGTTACAATAAGTTAGGAGCTTTCATAAGACTAGGACTTGACATTTCAATTGTATTTAAGGTGACTGACCATAAACTGGCATTTCTTAGTCATCCTTAATAGGTTACAATAAGTTAGTAATTTCCCTAAGACTAGGAATATATATATTTTCCATCTCTTTTACATTTAGCTTTAAAAATGATTTTGATTTGATGCTTTTCTAGTATCAAAATAAAACTTCTAAACATAGGTGTAGTCCACAGAGAGACTGGCAACTTTACTGATCCCTTTATAGTGCACCATGAATGAAAATGGGCACAGAGAAGAAACCAAAATACACATTCTGAGGGATAAAAGGTCAAAAGTTTATTGTCAAGGCTGTCTCACAAGAAAGCAAGGAAAACTGACAGGAGAAACATTTCCAAGGTTAAATGGGAATGAGAGAAATCAGACTTGTGAACTGGGATGAGACATGTGAGCAGGGATTGAGGGAGCTAGCATTGACCTTGACAAGTTAATAGGCACCACTGTCATCTGTTAATAGATTGGCCACAAGTTGCTTTTGTCAGAGATAAGAATGACTCCATTTTTAGTAAGCAGGAAGTTTCTTCAAGCCCCTCAGGGAATCCTGGC